ACAAAATTAACGAGCCGAACACGAGCTTCTTAACGAGCCGAACACGAGCTTCTTAACGAGCCGAACACGAGCTTCTTAACGAGCCGAACACGAGCTTCTTAACGAGCCGAACACGAGCTTCTTAACGAGCCGAACACGAGCTGTTCGGGAACAACGAGCCGTTTTGACAGCCCTACATAGAAGTACCGTCTAAAAGTTTGCATCAATTAAGGTACTTCAATATCAATATTTTTTTTTCATTTAAGTGCATTGATACTTTAGTGTACTCCCGCTACTACCACTAAGAGGTTACTTAATTGTCAAGCATGCACATGCAAAACATTAATATAACAAATCTCATTCTTATTTTCTTTGCAAAGCATTCAGTACATAATACAATATTTGAGTTAGGATTTGATGAACATATACAATATCAGCGACATACAATTCAATATAATCAAATAAACTTAAAAAGCGAATAAATCATTTTAATTTTAGTTTTACAGTATGAATCTATCAAAACTATTAACAAAATATATCTGATTTAAAAGAATTCAAATACCACTATAAATTGAAACTACAAGTACTCACATTGCTTCCAGATGATTTTTATTTATTTTAAAGTTCTTAAATTTCTTCTACAACAGTATACCTATTATCAATTAAAAATTATTATTACTAAAAAATTAATTAAATAATTTATTATTTTATGAATTTGATACTAATATATATCTATTTAAATCCACTGCTTAACTTATGTACTACTAGTTAATTAAATAATCAATGTAATTTAAAATCTTTATTGATATAATTTAGGATTTAATTATTAAGGATGAATGGTTTACCTTGCTAGCACTGCTCCCTAAAATAAATCTTAATTTAAGTTTTATCCAAAAAAAATCATCGATCTAACTCGCTAGCACTTCTCCCTTACACACATAAATGAGTTCAAAGTCCTTGCTAGACTTCCTAACCTAAATGAACATAATTTCATATTAACATTACCTTAAAAATAACTGTTTAATCAACATAATTTAGATACATGATAGAAATTTACCTCAACTCCTTTTATTGCAGGGTCAACGATTCCTTTAGAATCCCCTTTAACGACTCATTTACTGTTGTTAATCCTTTCTTTCTACTTTACAAAAACAAAATCAATATAAATTCTTTAAATGCAATTCAATTAATATAATTAAAAATCTATATAGCATTAAGTTACCCTTCTCTTCCATTGTTTTTTTTATCGGACTACTCGCACAAGAATCAAACCCGCAAGCCACTTCTTCCCCTTTCTCGCACAATGTGAGTCTTCCTTTCTCAATTTTCTTCTTCGTGCAAAACAAAGCCGCACGAAGCTTCTTCCTACATGTGTTACAGTTGAGTCGGTTTGGCTTGATTCCCCCTCCCTTACCCGAAGTAAAGTCGCTATAGTTGAATCGGTTTAGCTTGGCTCCCCTTCCCTTACCCAAAGTAAAGTCGCTATTCTTTCGCATAGAACACCATTTCAAAGCCTCCACACATGCAACCACAGTTGTCATCTTCCTTGCCCTAGACGCAGGCGGCAACCACAGTGCTTCGAGGCTCTTCCTTCATGTCCACAAAGCCGTTCGACATTTTTTTTAATTGGTTTGGGCGCGAGCTCTCTCAAGATTCAGAACACATTCCCTCTCTCTATGACTCTCCTTCTTCTCAGTCTCCTTCTCTCATTCCTGTTCTGTTCCAACTGGTAAGAAAGATTCCTTGACTCCTAAAAATGAACCCATAGAGATGCCCTTATTCAATTATTATTATCTAAATTATTTATACATTATTATTATTATTATTAAAATTTTAGTTATTATAGTATGGGAAAAAATATAGTGAAATAGAGAAGCTGGAGGACTACCAAACCTCGTCCCTAACCACCAAAAAGAGTTGTGCTTGATGAAAATTTATTTCTTTCATTTTGCTACTTAATTATTTATATATTGTAAAACAAGGTGTTCTTATAAGTAAATAAACTTGTGCAACTCTCAATGCCCTGGCGAATGACTCTCCTTCTTCTCAGTCTCCTTCTCTCATTCAAACATTAGAAGTAGTGAAGTAAATGTTGATAAAAATTTTGGCTCCTCCATTGATCAGTACTATGTGAAAACACTTAACTAAATTGGTGTATCGTTCAAACATTAAAGGTTAGAAGTAGTGAAGTAAATGTTGATTGTTCTCAATAGCGAATTGTGAGCTCCAAATATTCAAAATGCCCCAACCTCCCTCAAAAAAGAAATATTAGAAGCATGGATGAGAGAGTTTACCCTGAGCTTCCAAGTTAAATTTTTTGATGTCAAATGATATAGTAGATAAGACAATACCCAGACAATACCCAGAAATTTCACCTCATTTCTACGAGGACTATAAGATCTAGGGTCCACAGTTTCTCATAGATGCAAATCCTAATGATTAATTATACATCTTGATTGTCATAACCCGACCAGGGCTTGGAATTAAACAAGACGGAAATGGATGGTCAGGCGGTAAAAATCAATTCTATGTTATTCTATTTTTATCACTAATAATCTTTTCAATTATTCATGAAAGAACCACAAAATAAAACAATTTAATTAATAGATAGAAAGTTTTACCTTTCCAGTTGTTATTTTCGTCTACTATACACATTTGTTCCTCTTCTATTTATCTTGTTCAAAAGCTTAAAACCTAAAAAAAAATATTTAAAGAACATAATGACTTATCTAAAGATAAGTCATGAGTAATCATGCTTCTAAACTCCAACAACCCAAGAAAAAGAAATCAATGAGCATGGTGATTTTTCATCTCTCTATAAAAAACTTGAAAAATACTAATCTTTCATATTTCTATAAAAAATCTTTGAATATACTAATGCGTGTAACAACGATCTTTACTCAATGAAAATACTCAAATCTTCTATAAAAACTTACTTTAACTTTACTTTTACTTTATATTCTTAATATACACATCTATCTGTTTGAGGACATCATCAAAACAACCTAACACTCCCCTGACCGGTATTATCTCATCGGCACAGTGGTTAGCGATCTAAACAAATAATCATCTGAGGTGGAAAGGTCATTACCTGCCTAATATTATCTAGTCGGCACAACAGTTAGTGATATACAGAACACAATTGTCTGAGGTGGTAAGTTTTATCTAGTCTCCCCTGACTGATATTCTTCTAAATGCACAACAGTTAGTGATCTAAGCATTACAATTATTTAGGGTAACAAAAAACTACACTTGCGAGTACTGGCATTCCCTGCCTGTACCATTAGGGGGTGAACTTTACCTTTTAGCATGCACATACAAGTATTTGTATATATATTATTTCATTCTTCAAAATATACATTCTTTCGAGTCATCATCATTCATCTACTAACGTGTATGTTTTGTTGTATAACTATTTATCATGCATATCTTTTATATCGTGTCCATCTTGCATATCATAAATGTCATAC